GGTGGAAAAGATGATCTCATATTCTAAGAAAATCACCTTTCAACATGTAACTTGGGAAAATAATAGGTTCGCCGATACCCTTGCGACCCTTGCTTCAATGGTTAATAATCCTCCAAAAATCACCACGCTGTCACTCTATATCAGGAACAATCATGATCATTCCCCACCAAGGATTGAAGAAGAAATAGAGCAAGAAAATGAGAATGATGTGGAAGTGTCTCTCGTGGCTTCAGATGCGTTAGTTAAGGCAAAACCATGGTTCCACGATGTTCTGTCATTGTTGAAAGATGGGTTATACCCTGAAGGGGCCACTAAAAAGGATAAAGAATCCCTTCGAAGGTTTTCTATGGGATTATTAGTAAAAGATAATCTCCTGTTCAAAAAGTCCTTCGATGGCATCATTCTACGATGTCTTGATCAGACAGAAATCGACCAAGCACTCACAAAGTTACACAATGAAGGAGGTCATTCTAGCACAACCACCTTAGCTCAAAAAATCAGGCTCTAAGGCTATTACTGGACCACCATGGCTGAAGATTGTTGGAAGTTCAAAAAGAGGTATCCCAAATGTCAACTTTATGTAGACCTCATCCATGCACCGTCCGTACCACTCAACCCAACGCCGCCTGTATGGCCCTTTGCTATGTGGGGTCCTGATATCATTAGAATGAACTCACCAAAATCCTTAAACGGCCATCGTTTTATATTAATGGCTAGAGAGTACTTCACCAAATGTGTAGCGGCCGCATCATTTGTCAAAATTGAGGGACAACATGTTGCCCGTTTCATAAAGAACAATAATGTATTCAGGTTCGATGTTCTTGAGTCAATATATTACTGACAATGGATCCAATCTCAAAAATGAAAAGGTCTCTAAGGTGTGTAAAAAGTTTGGGATAACGTAGAAATTCTCCACACCTTACTACCCTCAAGGAAATGGTTAAGCAGAGGCTACAAACAAAAGACTTCTCATAATTATATACAGAATAATAGAAGGTGGCAAAGATTGACACGAAAAGCTAAATGATGTGCTATGGGCCTATCAGACAACTAAGAAGACTCCTACTGGCATGACCTCGTACTCATTGATGTATGGTATAGAAGCAGTGATACCCATTGAAGTTGAGATATCGTCTCTCCGAGCACTTATTCATAAAGATTCAGATGAGGAACAGAAGATCGAAGCACGAATCGCTCCCCTCGTTAATTTTGATGACAGACAACTACGAGTAACAAAAAATATTGTTGCTTACCAATGTAGAATTGTAAGGGCATACCAAAGTAAAGTTGTTCCTCGACAGTTCAAGGAAGGTGATATGGTACTCAAGAAAATCTTCCACACTCTTGCAACCTCACATCTTTTAGGCAAGTTCAAACCTAATTGGGAGGGATCATTCATGGTCACCCAAGTGCATGCAGGCAATTCTTACAAGATCAAGAATCAAGAGGGGTGCGAGCTCAACGACCCCATCAATGCAATGTATCTCAGAAACTACTACCTGTAATGGGCTCAAAAGAGTGGTGAAAACCTGAAAGGACATCACTGGTAAAAAATAAAAAAATTTCTCCAAGAAGGAGCTTTTGATTAAAAAACACTCGAGTACAAACAAAGTACTTGCAAGTTCCAACAATACGGCACAAGCAGACCCTGAGGACGAAGAATCGTCCTAACCCTATAGGTTCCCAACGTAACCGACTTAGAAAGATGCGAGAGCATGATATGAATGGAAAACCGAAGTGACTTAGACGAATCCTGGAAGAACATCGGAAGCTCAGCAAGAATCTAAAGAACTCTTCATGAACCCACAAAGCACATGATGAAAGCTCTAAAGGTAAAAAGACAACTTCAAGACTTTTGAGTTCTCACAATCCCACAAGGAATCCTTTCATCATCTTTGGGTAAAATAAAATAAAGAAAATGACCACCAAAGGAGCCATAGGTGGAAAAATTGTAAAGCCCGTCCCTTTTAAAAGCGCCTTTTCAATCTGATTGTTAAAACCCTCCATTTCCAAAACCATTTGAGAAAGGACTTTCTCCATCACTATAAGAGGTTAAACGGTTAGTCGATCTGGCCTCGCTCTCAAAGCCAACTTCCTCTGCTTGTTATGAAGGCTTGAAACGAGCCAAGCACTCCATGGTTGTATGAGTATAACTACCAACTACCACATATCAGACATGAGTGAACCTCGCCAATGACAATATTGGCTAGTCTGGGAGCATTTTTTCTCTCGACTGGATCCCCTGAGGTGAAATGAGGCAAACTCATCCCCTTGTGTGCGTAGAATGTCCCAAAGTCCAATTCGAAAAGCGTCAAACTCGTGCAACATAAAAGAACCGAGACATGATAAGCATCAAACTTGTGCGACGTTAAAGAGCCAAGCCAAGATAAACGTCAAACTCATGTGATGTAAAAGAGCCGAGACAGGATAAGCGTCTAACTCGTGCGACATCAAAGAACCGAGACAGGATAAATGTGAAACTCATGCGACGTAAAAGAGCCGAGACAAGATAAACGTCAAACTGTTGCGACGTTAAAAAGCAGAGACAGAAGAAACGTCAAACTCGTGCGACGTTAAAGAGCCGAGACAGGAAAAAATGTCAACCTCGTGCGACATAAAAAAGCTGAGTCAGGGACCATCCAACCCCGTATGACATGAAAGGTCAGGTGTATCCAGGGTACAACCACCCTGTTTAATGAAAAGCGTCAAACTCGTGCGAGGTAAAAGAGCTGAGATAAGGACCGTCCAGTCCTGTAAGATATGAAAGGTCGGGTGTATCCAGGGCACAACCACCCTGTTCAATGAAAAAACGTCAAGCTCGTGCGACATAAAAGAGCCGAGGCAGGTATCATCTAGCCCCGTATGACATGAAAGGTCAAGTGTATCCAGAGCACAACCACCCTATTTCAATGAAAAAACGTCAAACTCATGTGACGTAAAAGAGCTGAGGCAGGTATCGTCTATCCTGTACGATGTGAAAGGTCGAGTGTATCTAGGGCACAACCACTCTGTTTGATGGAAAAATATCAAACTTGTGCGACGTAAAAGAGCTAAGGCAGGTACCGTCTAGCCCCGTATGACCCAAAAAGGTCGGGTGTATTTAGGGCACAACCACCCTGATCAATGGATTTTGTCTATCCCCATATTGACGTAAAAGGGTCGGGTGTATGGTCCATCGCTGCATGACGCTAAACTGCTTAGAGAGCTCTATGGTTGCAAGAGTTAAAACTGCTAACCAACTTTGTTTTTCGATATATCTTTATCTTTTCAAAATTTTCACTATATGTCTTGTGTTTTCCAAACACTTTAATTTCTTTATTAAAACATGTCCTTGCTTCTGGTTCTATTTCAAATCTCCCCCTAATTTTAAAAATTCTAAAAAATGTCTTAAAAAAGCAAAGGAGCTTGGACACCCATATATGATGATTACAGCGTTGCTGTCTCGCTTCTTACATTGGATTCGGTCAGACAAGTCTCTTCCTATATAAAGCCTTTTCCTACCTTAGGAAACCCTAAGGAGATCAAAGAAAATGTCAGGGTTAAAAATTCAAACAACAAAAACCCTTGAAGTTAAGTGGCATGGCTAGAAAATCCAACTCAAGTTTCAAGCTTGTGTAACTCACCGATATTTCATACCGAAAACCCTAAGAGGAAAAATTCCCTAGGTGGGATAGCTTGGTGAGCGCAATGACTTGGAGGAATAGTTGGTGTGCCCACTGACCACGTGACCTTAGGAAGAAATTTAAAATGTCTGCTTTATCCTTGACATTCACCTACCCCTTGAAAGGCAGGGAACGCCAAAGTGTTTACTTCTTTGCCACTCACCTATCCCTCGAAGGACAAGGAGTGCCAAAGAGGGGCAACTGTAGACACCCCATTTTAAATCTGGTAAATTCTATGGTTTTTTGAACCCTTATTATCATATTATCCTAGTATGTCCAATTTAATTGTCCCAAAACTACTCCAATCCTATCTCAATTTGAAGTAGAGCCAAAGAGCTTTCAAATGGCTCAAGAATTGCCTGAATCAGACCTACATATACAAAACTATAACAAATGACAATTTAATCCCTATGAGACCCAACTGTCAGGCCCGAGCCGAGCGGTAATGGGCCCGACAGGCCCACACGCTGGCTGATGATGCAGTCAACACATCTGATGATGCAGTAAATAGGTTTTCTTTAATTAGATAAGGTTAAATTTCAAGATAAATCCAAAAAATTTCAGAAAGACCCCAAAAAAATAAAAAAAAATCCCCAATTGAATCTTATAAATACCCCCTCTCCTTAACCCAAGAGAAGCGAGAAAAAGAGACAAAAAAAAAACTTATAAATTCTCAAAATTAGGAACATTATCCAAAAATACTGAAAATAAGAAAAACACTTAGAAATTTCCTAAAAATTTAGGAAAAATCCCAAAAAATTAGAGAAAATATCAGAATTCATATTCAACCTCTAAAGACCACAAAACCCTTAGAAAACTAAGAAAATTCTCCTCCAGACCTTGAGAAAGACCAACAATTTTAGAAAAATCTCTAAATTGAAAACCCTAAAGAAGATAGAAACCCTAGCCTCTTGATGTTCTAACCCCCAAAACTGAGAAAACCTAGACCTAGGGCACAAAAACCCTAGATCAAAACTAGAATTAGGGCACAACAACTCTAGATCTAACCACCAGAGATCTGCTGGTCAACATCTGAATCAGAGAGGCAAAGAGGACCGGTTCTGATACAGGCGAGCCCTCGAAGGGTCGAGAATCCCGAGCCATCCGGCCTAGTTTGGTATTATTTCTTCCTCTCTCTTTCTTCTTCTTTTTACTGTTTTACTTCTTTTATTTATGTTTGATCTGTTAACTTGTCTTAAAAATCATATTTTAATGCTCTGGATCATGCTAGTTCTACCACAGATCTGGGAGTATATCTGCTTATTTCTACGCAAATCTGGCCTCACATCTGAATTCGATCTGTCTCACTTTCTCTACCACTTTATTTACATCTTTCTAATTAGTTTAAGGTGTTAAAATTTGAGTAATCTTCATCGGAAGATCTGTCAGATTTTCATCGTAAACAATAATACACCCAAGGTTAAAAATTATTGGAATATTCCAATGTAAAAAGGCACTCGGTATAATGGGTATTCTGCGTTATTTTAGAGTAATGATATGAATAAGATAATGATGTCTTTTTCTATTGTATACTCATTGATATTGTGTGTCTTTGAGAGTATGATCTACTTACAAAATTTCAATGGGGGATCCTAAGGGAATTAAGAGTTATTGATTCATCAAGTGTTGTTTTCTACAACGAAAACTATTTCAATAACTTAGAAGTCATGATTTTGTTTCCATTCTTAACAAAATATTTTATGCTCCACACTAAAGTTTTAACTTCCATTCTGAGTCTATTTTCTAATAAAATTTATTTGAGAGAAATATCTATGGGAAGAGAGGAATAAAAATTTTAGATTGAAGATATATCATCCTAAATTTTCTGCAATTTGGTATGTTCTTCATTGAGGCATGAATAACTATATTTCTCAGGTCTACTTAACAAAGTGATATGAGGCTTGTGAAAATATATGTGTTACTATTATGTGTCTACTTTTAGACAAAATTGGTTTGAAATGGAAACTCCATGAGGGTAAAGAGAAAAGATAATTTTACTAGATAGTGTTCATCTTGGAATTCTACAGTATGATTTATTTTGTGATGTGAATGTTAGTTATTTATTTTTCTGAAGAAAAGTATTATTTGAGATTCACACTATGATATTGTGATTTTATTTTAAGCTTAGTTTTTAATACAAAATATTTCAGAAGAAATACTTTGAGAATTGAGATAAACAAATTTTTTATTAAGAGGTGCTTAACTTGAATTTCTGTTGAGAAAATTACATTGTGATGTAAATGTCACTAAAATGAAGACTCACTAAATGGTATAATTTAGGGATGGAACTAAGCAATATTTTATATTTTTTAGGCTATACTCAAAAAGGTTCGGAGATAAACTCTTTAGGAGTTGAGAGATATCATATTTTTATCATGGGATGCCCAAGTTCTATTACGCAGAAAATTGAAAAATGTGGCATGATAAGGCACATCTTTGGATTCCTAATTATGAAGACCTTTTAAAGGCTCAGTTAAAAAGGTTTTATAGTGTGCCATGAGTATGGTTTATTATAATAAAACTTCAAAGAGATGTAATACAGAGTTGGCGAGATTTAACACTCTATATGAAGAGTTTTCGATTTGGGAATAGCAGAAAAAAGAAGAAACACAATACCTATAAAGGCATCTTGGTTTCTTCAAGATGAAGGGATACATAGAGAGACATGGTGGTAGCAGAGAAATGCAAAAGATTAGTGGGAGAATTAAATTTGTGATATTTGAAATAATGGGATGAAGAAGAGTACTTCTTCATGGTATGAGACATGGGGAATCCAAGTGCCGAAGAGATTGACACTTCGTGACATGTGAAACCGATGACCAATATATTCTCCATCAGTCGAGTGCTCTTCCAAGATCACAAAACTTGACAAACATATAAAAGCAATGAATTAAGAAAGCCCAAGTACCACACTACATTGTTTTGATGTATGAAATTTATCTCACATTACATGGTAAGGTTATATAGGAAAAGAGGATTCAATAACTTTTTATTATGTTTAATATGCTTTGGTTATATTTTGGCTAATTGTTTTATGAATATGTACGGAGTGTATGAACATTAAGTGATATGTGCTAACAAAATTGAAAGAGTTCATTTATGAATACCATGTGTTTTAGTGCCTCCTTGTGTTAGAGTATGAACTACTAAATGTAGTGATATACATGGAGATGTGATTTGATCAAGGGCTTTGAGCCTTAAGGATGAAACACGAGAGATGGATATGGCTCATTCAAATATGTAAGCACAAAAGGAGTGTTATGATGGAACTCGATCTTAGTAACCATCCTCCTAATAATGTTTATAATATGATGTATTCCATATGATGATGATCCCTTGATAAAGTCTTCATATTTGCCAAAAAGGAAATATTTTGTCAAGGCTTTAATAGACATTCTTTAGTAATGTTTTATTTTGGATAAAATTATATGATGACATTATGATTTATTTTTTGTGGCCATGAAATTGATTTGGTAGGAAATTAAAGGTGAATGTAGTAAAATGATTTCTGAAGACTAAGCATTTTTTAAAAAATTAAATTGAATGATTTGATAAAAACCTAAGTCTATGAATATGGTTTTAAGAAAACTATATTGTCTTGCAAGGTCCACTAAGTCTTTATGAAAATCATTTAAACCGTCATACTATATATATATATATATATATATCTATATACACACACACCAAGTTAATTAGTTTTTTTTATTAAAGAGAAAAAACATTATGTATTGAAGGTATTTATAAAATGGGAGAAAAATTATCATGCACTGGTTTTTAAATACCCATGTGCCTTGACCCATATTTCTAGTTATTTAAAATCCTCGATTACCAAAGACCTTGAACGATATGGAATGTTGTATGAAGGTCATCTTGCTAGGCTCCCTTAACACATGTTGTATTGATTAGATAACTTAGTTTGTATGGATTTACTACCTAGATGACTAGTGTGGTTGAACCTTTATGGTTCATGAAAGTTTTTCATATTGAAAAAACCAACGAGCATTGAAGTACATATTGCATGAGACTTACTAAGCTACATCATGATATAGGCATATATATGTTGAGAATGTATACGTCATATGTACAATAATTGAGTGGGAGTTGCTACAATCCCATGTTTTTTTTAGATGCTTAGATATTCAGGTATACAGATGCAAGTTATCTCACGGATCCAAATGATAAAAAGGCTACATCTATATGTGTTCTTGCAAGGAGGGGGTATAGTTTCTTGGAAATCAAAGAAACATGATGCGGTGGAATTGTCCACCATGGAGGCAGAGTACGTGGCGTGTTGTTTGGCGGCCAAAGAGGCTGTATGGATTAAGAAATTTCTTAATTGACTTGACTTCCACCTTATGTGTTGTAAGGCAATAATGATTTTTTTTGACAACATGGTGGCAATATGTGTATCAAAGGAGTCACGATTCCATAATAACTCTAAGCATATAAAACCATGTTTCTATTACCTGATGAATGAGGTGAGATTGAGAAAGATCGAGATCCAGATAAACTAAATATTTCAGTAGGAGCACCTGCTAGTATCTGACAGACCAGATAGAATAACAAACTATAATTTTGTTCACCTATAGAACCCGGATGTGTGGCGTTGGTTGTATGGCTACAGAAGGGAGCAGCTTATTTGAAGAACTCCTTTGAGTTCATGAATATATGACCCCATGCGATGAGGGTACAGATCCATGATTCGTGATGCAATATGAAAGATAGGCTATGACCACTTTTGGGATGAGATCCGAGCAGTAAAGAGAAAAAAACGTTGCTTTTGTAAGTCCTTTTGTGAAAGGATTGATGACAAAAGCCATGATTAATGTATTGAGAGATAACAATTGAAAAATTCTTGAGAGAGAGATTGTAATTGGGAGAGAGATAGGGATATGATAAAGTGAAAAAAATATAATGTAAGGCCTTCAAAGGCCAAGTGAGAGATGTTGGGAGAATGTGGACATTAAAGGCCATACGAGTGCTTATAAAATGAAATGATATAGTAGAACATGAACTCAATGGGAGTGTGGTCCCTCGTGAACTATACTAAGCAAACGACATTTGCTGATACCAAATTGTGCTTGATGGTCTAGGCCAATCAGTTGGAAAAAACCTATATTACCTGGGCATAGAAAATTAACCGATAAGGGTTTTAATATCCCTTGATGAGGTCGGAGTACGCTCAGATGACTACGCCGAGGGACTGTGTGACCCTTGTGTGTGATTGTGGCCTTCAAAGACGGGGGCCACAGCCCCATTCATGTACCATCACATGGCATGCATACTGATAGACCGTTTCGAGAAAGCAAACCACCTTTCAAAGTCAAGCTTATGCATGTGTGAGAGATACCCCAGTGCGTCATAGGAGTT